TGCTATTGTCAACATGGGCACCATGCTTAAGTAATGTGCAATAATTATTTACAATTTAATCACAGTTTAATTTCCATCAAGTTTGCAAACTTAAAAGAAGTTTTTTTTTTTTCAATTACAGGAGAAATTTAAAGAACACAGAGGAAGAGAAGTGAAATAAATAAGTGCTATTAAGAACTGACGATAAACACTTGCTGTTAACAAGCAAAATCCATGAAGAACAACAAAACTGAAACTGACTCCAGTTTTACTCATTGTTCTGTCACAGAGCTACAAAAGTCACACTGACATTTTCTGAAAATACTTGTTTTGTTAAGCTGGGCATACACTCTTCTGGGTTTATTTTCAAGCCTTAGTCTGACTTGTGCGCCTCTTCTTTGAATCTGACTGCACTTCAGCTTTGTCATGGGTTATTTGTCGTGCTGCGTTTATGCAGTATTGAGGGGGAACAGCGAGGCGATTAACCTCTCCTGATCAGCAATCGAATGGCTGGATGACATGTGAGAAAGTTTGTTAGATAAGCTCCAATTTTAGCTACAGTACAGACTAAATAATGTATATGCACGAATATAATATTGCATAGCTTCCTATTAAAAATAAGAATTTAAAAGAGAGATCAGTGAGGGGTGGACTTATATATAATGAGCGCTGTATATCTAAATGTATTTCAAATCAAAAACATTTCTACTTTTCATAGTAAATTATAACTTAGGGTACCGTGAAGTGGGTAGCAGACTTTGAGGCAGCAAACAGTGCTGAGAATAGTGAGAGTGGTGAGAGAGCAGATCCCAAATAAGACACCACAGAAGGCATAGATCACACACACTGTTCTTCCATACAGCCACCTGCAAATGGAAACAGCACTCAATAAGAAACAACAGGATTAAAGACCATGAGTGGTCCATTGCATTGTTGCTTTCTGTCAGCCTTTTTTTGCCTTCCATAGTACAGTTGATGTCAGAATTATTAGCCCCCCTTTGAATTATATATATATTTTTATATTTCCCAAATTATGTTTAACAGAGAAAGGAAATTTTCACAGTATGTCTGATAATATTTTGTCTTTTGAAAAAAAGTCTTATTTGTTTTATTTCAGCTAGAATAAAAGCAGTTTTTAATTTTTAATGAACCATTTTAAGGACAAAATAATTATACAATAACTTGCCTATTTACCCTAACCTGCCTAGTTAACTTAGTTGAGCCTTTAAATGTCACTTTAAGCAGTATAAAAGTGTCTTGAAAAATATCTAGTCAAATATTATTTACTGTCATCATGGCCATGATAAAATAAATCAGTTATTAGAAAGTAGCTAAAACTATTGTTACGTTCCCCTCAACTCTGTCTAGGGGGACACAGGTACGCGACAGAATGTTAGTGGAGTTTTGTGTATGTGTGTCAGCAATAAGGTCCCATGAGCAGGGCCAGACAGAATCTGCGAATGTTTTTTGCTATTTCTGCAGAGAATTTTGGAAAATATCTGCGGATTTCTGCAGAATTATTTTGGGAGTATCCAGCGGAGTATCATAACTAAAACCTTAATATATGAAATAAAAAGTAATAAATAACTGAATAAATTCAGATTTACACATTTACTCAAGTAAATAAACAGAATTAATGATGGGCTAAAAATCTGCAGAAATCTGCTGAATTCTGCGGAAAAATTTGTGGAAAATCTGCGTGCGCAGATTCTGTGTGGGCCTACCCATGAGCAACCTCTCAAAGGACTGAACAAAAGAAAAATGCAACCTGAATAAAGATTAACAAAAGATTTAATCAAGGATTAAGGGAGGGTTCCAAAAAAGCTTCAAGAGGGGGTTCAAGCCAAAACAACAAACAAAAGTTCTCTAACAGAGAGAAAGGAAAGAACTAGATAATCTATAAAAGAAAGGAAAAGAAAAACAAATCAAAAATACTCTCACTCCCACTAACATAAACAGGAGAAAAGTTACAAAAAGGAAAATGGCACCCCCTCTCTACTATCCCAATCCCAAATTAACAAAGAGTGGATAACAAAGTAGTATTGAAAACAAAAATGAACTTACAATCAAAAACAGTTAGAGGCAAAAGCTGTACGAGATGGTCAACAGCATCAACAGAACTACAAATTAAAGCTCCTAATAAACAAATAATGCTTAAAGGATCAAACAAAGAATATATATATATATATATATACAAAGCCTCAGAAAAGAGCCTCCACACACAAAAACACACTGGTCTAGTGGAGACTGCTGCTTAAATGCCCACGACTTTACTCGTCCTCCAATCACTGAGTAGATCACAAGTGGCAGCAGGTGACGTTCATTATCTCCTACTAGGGTGTAGCAGAGAAAGAAAGAAAGAAAAGAAAAGCTGCGTCCCAAATGGCACACTATACACTATGCACTCATGCACTTATGCACTTACACACTCTACAGGATAGTGTTAGCGGAAATTCAAACCGTTTCCCTGATGACGTTTGACGGTTGCCAAATTAGTGAAATAAATGATCAAACTATCAAATAATACCTGCCCTGAGTATAACCGCATTTAGCATCGGGAGGCTCTATTACCACTCTCGTAGGAGAATTTTGCTTTGAAAATCCAAAATAAATGAAGTTATCCAACATGTGCGCCCAATAGCTCTGCCCCTTCTGCTACGTGAGTAAAGCCTGATTTATACTTCTGCATCAAGTGACCGGCGTAACCCACGGCGCATGCAACGTGCGTGGCTGTGCATTTATACTTCTGCGCGCTGTCTCTGTTGGTCTACATTAACACTCCGAAACGCTAGTTGGCAGTGAGGTGTTAATGTTCCTCTGTGTCGAGTTTCTTCGCTGTTGTTTTGCTTTTCCTGAACACTTCCGGGATGTACAAGTGGCTCAAACTCGCTCATTTTGAGGCAGGAACCGGCGGACGTGCAGCAACTTTAACTATGAGGTAAACACAAAACAAAACTTTCCATCCGGAGCTCCTTCACGGGACTCCACACTTGTAAACAATCGCTACATTGGGTTCGCGCCATTCGCGCGGCTCTCGGTCCCGCCCCGACTCGTCCGCGCCACCAAGCCGACCAATCACAGAGCTCGCGCTACGCGTTGTTGCGACGTCTAGTTACAATTTTTGAGAGGTGCACATCAGTGACGGCGACGGCCACGGCGTAGGCCTATGCGTCAGCGCCGTAGCATACGCCGGTGTTTGACGCAGAAGTATAAATCAGCCTTAAACCTGCGGTCGTTGAGTGCGTGAAGTGTCCATCATTACACACTTCATTTTAGCGGCTGAATGAGTGCATCATGTGGGTAATTAAAGTGCACTTATTATTTTTAGAGTTTTCAGTGTGAACACACTACTTACACTATTTATACTACAAAATGGTGTAGTATAGTGCATAAGTATGCGATGTGGGATGCAGCTAAATACAAAACAGAAACAAATACGTCCCGGAACGTAACAATTATGTTTAAGACAGGCCCCGGCTACATTAGCATGACCCAGCAGGCATTCAATGTCATGAGACATTAATATTAGGTTAAATTTAGGTTGTGACGTCAGGTGACTAAAATTCAATGTCCAGCCAGTGCCTAAGGACAACGTTATCTTGACGTCCAATATCGACGTCAAATGACGTTGATTTTTGTTTGATTTTACGTTGTGTTAGAAAGTGACCAAAATCCAACGTTGAGACAACATCTTAATCCAACGTCATATTGACGTCAAATACTGACATTTATTCGGCATGTTCAGCAACAAGCTGAAGATTTAAATGTGTATCGGGTTTAATAGTGTGGAGTTGGGGTGGTGGAGGGACGCTGAAGTCAAGAGAAAATGAAGGTATGACGTGTTTGACTATTTATAGGGGTTTGGTCTTAAGCTGATTGGATAATAGAATGATTATGTGTGATGAATTAGCCTCGTCGAAGACTGATCGTGTTTCTCCCGAAATTTGTTCATAAAACATCACTTAAAGCTGCGGTCACACTGGACTTTTCCTCCCATAGACTCCCATTCATATGCACGCAAATACGTCAGACCGGAAACGCAGGGTCATGCGTTAAGTTTCGCAGGTTGCTACGGTGCAAAGTTTGGGGAACTCTGACCTGCGAAATTGTATCACTTGACTGCGTGAGACCAATCGAGGATCAAAACATGACCTCTCTGGACAGAAATTGAAAACATGGAGCAATCACTCACTTTTTTAAATGTCTAATAAACTTGTTTAATTCTGCCCCTTTTCGCAGTGACGTACGACAGAATTTCACACACACAAAATCTAGTGTAAGTAGGTGCAGTAGGTGATTGTCTTCAGAAGCATTTTTTGTTGTGCTAGTTGAAAGTCTCTTCACAGTCTAATAGTAATGATTACAGTAAATGATCTAAATGTGTTTATATGTATTTTTATATTTTGGGTAAGACATAAAACTAAAAAATGTTCATCCAATTAAAAAGCGTCGGACCATCGTGTCTTATAATTCGGATAAGTAGCCCAATCTGTCTGTCAGCAAATGCAGATTTGAACAACTGCGCAGCCATTTGTACGCAGCTCCGCCGACCGCCGCACGTTCACGAGAGAGCGCAATTGGTAAAAACCTGCTGAATCAAAACTTTTTAAAAACCCGAATCAATATTGGAGTTACCTTTGCGTGCTGGAGATCGGATGACACGATGTCTGAAGGATTTCTCTTAGACAGTTGATGTTCTGTTTTAAAACAGTTTTAGCTTCACGCAAAGCTGATGTAACGTTAGATGTTGTTGTTACAAATGGCTTATATCTTCACAGAAGTGTTGTTCAGCCACTAAAATCTTCTGATGAAAGATTAATAAGACTATTTTCAGTTTCATAAGGGACCTTTTACAGCCTCAATAATGTAGATTTTAATTAGTTTAACAACAAAAAACAAGTAAATACCGCTATTCCGCCTAGTCTCTCCCTATATTGTTTACCATGCAACAAATAATTGCTTTGAAAAAGCATGTCAGTTTGGCTTGCACACCGCTGGACAAGCAAGCACTAGGCACTTTTAACACATGAGAGAGGGTTCTTTTGCTGTGCTCGTGTTCAAGGAGGCGTGGCTCTAGACGGCAGGGGAGGGATTGTGATTCATAGATTTATGCCAAGCTGTTAGCATTGTGGAAGATCACCTACTGCACCTTTAAATCAATTTTTAATTCAACGTGATTTTGTGTAGCTTTCACCCCCCCCCCCCACTAAGTGTGTTTTCCGTGAACCCCCAACCCCCCCACTGAGCATGATTTCTGCGACAAGACCCCCCCCCCCCATTTTGCCCCTGCATTTTGCGCTACGCCACTGTCTATCTGAAGGACATGATAAAGGTTTACTAGAACTAGCTTCACTAACAAAATACACATGAAAATTGCCTTCATTTACACCTTCAGCCATAACCTTGGTTTGGTTTGTTTGTTTCTCTGATGTGCAGTCCACCACTGCCATAAAAAGAGAAATACATAATGCCATGTTCAAATCTCTGGCTTTACATTACCTTCCAGATCCAGCACTAGCATTACAAGTGATTGCAATTGCCACTCTTAACAACAGTCTGAAGTAAAGGGTAGTTTAACCTTGATGGCTGGGGTCTGTTTTTTTGTGAGAGATGTGGTCTAGCTGTGACATGAAGTCACTCTTTGCAAAAAAAAAAAAAAAAAAGAGCCATTGGATTCGGTCTGTCTACTGCATTCTTTCTACGTCTGCACACATCATCATTATCTTTGCGTTTACCGGCCGGTTTCCTCTTGATGGAGCACTGAACTGAATGTGTGTGTGGGGGTCTTTTTGGTTGGGATTATATGGACCATTTTACCTTGGAAACATGATGAGCTGAAGCGAAGTGACAGCTAAGTATGTGTGTACAGGACACAGTGAGATAGAAAAGGAAAGAGTGGGAGAAAGCAAAGGAAAAAATCTACCTTTACATGATAAGAGAAAGCAAGGGCCCCTAGTTTAAAACATTTAGGACTCGTAAATCTAAAAAGGATTCCATTTCTCAATTTTTAATACAATTCTTTTTTTATTATTTCCTCTTAAACACTGGCAATAGTAAATTTGCTATTAAAAAAAGTTAAATATATTGCACGAACGGCTAAAATAACAACAATACTACAAAAATGAAAAGAGA